CGTATCCACGGAGTGAATGATGATAAGTGCATGGGGTGAAGCGCCCGTCAGCCCGTCCATGCTTCCGTCCGTCCGTCCATTCGTTCTTGCTTCCGTCCGTCCGCGCGACAATCCGTGCGTCCGTCCGTCTGTCCATGCGTCCGTCCGTGAGTCCGTCCATCAATCTGTCTGTCTGTTCGTGCGTCCATCCGTAAAGTACGTACGTGCGTCTATCCATCCGGCACTTGGAGAGCCTTCGCTGAAAGGCTGCTGCGTTGAGTCAGCTAGGTTGAATCGAAACGAAATGGAAGTTAAAAAAGAAACAGATGGAGCTTCAGGTACGCGTGAAAGTGAGTACAGTAGACGAGTGGTAGTATACGATTTCTCATAGCATGAAAAAAGTTTCCAAACTATAAGCGCCATGCAATGGTTTCGCGACTTCTTGTTCTTCCAATGATCGTGGCGCATACCCACTATGGGGTACTTTGTGAGATGATCAAAACCGGAAATCAAGGAGCAGTTCCACTACTGGCCATGTAATAGATTAACCGAATTACTCGCAAAGGTCAGGAAAGAAATGTACACGCAAGGGTTCATTATTTTGTTGACAAGATGGCACTCATTACAGTGGTGCGACTGGCAGGAGGGTTGACGATAGGATGGGTCGTCAAGCCACAGCTTTTACGGAGACCCAGAGCTCTGAGGCCAACAGTGTAGACAAATATAATTATAAAGTGACACCAATATTCAAGCCACGTGAGGTCCGTGGAAGAAGTCTACATAAGCACAAGGGCGGAGCTAATTCGTTATCAGTTTGTAATGCACTTTCTGCGGCAGTAAATGCAGAGCTGATGAATACGTTTCGGCATTTAGTACCGAAAAACGTAAAAAAAACTGCATTTGCTATAGGTACCGGGCCACCGCGGATTATATATGAACGAAATGGCGGACTCTTTAGCAGCAGTATTCCTGGGTGGGCCCACCATCCCAGTTTTGCCAGATACGGCTTACGTGACAGCGCTAAGGTTCCGAAATGCTTGCCTGCAATGGGGAAAAGGTAATTTGGATAAATGCAAAGATTTCGAGCATTTGAGCTATTGCTGGAATAAACAGTGGTGTGTATCTCGCCAGTTAGAGGTCACTTATACCAGATTGCGCTGTGCAGTTCCACCACTAAATTATTACCTTAACAAAGCTCGACTCAAGGCGTCACCGCTATGCATTTGGTGCAACGAAATCGAAACAATTGAACATTTCTTTTTATTCTGTCATCGTTATTCTTAGCAGAGAAAAAAATTTTTAGTAGCCCCCTTACAAAAGCTACGAATACAAGTAAATCTACCGGTAATTTTATCACTTCGCGGAACTGCCTGTGGCGGTTACTGCCACAGGGATATATGCTCCATTGATTTGATTGATATGTGGGCTTTTGCCCCGCCGCGGTGGTCTAGTGGCTAAGGTACTCGGCTGCTGACCCGCAGGTCGCGGGTTCAAATCCCGGCTGCGGCGGCTGCATTTCCGATGGAGGCGGAAATGTTGTAGGCCCGTGTGCTCAGATTTGGGTGCACGTTAAAGAACCCCAGGTGGTCTAAATTTCCGGAGCCCTCCACTGCGGCTCTCATAATCATATAGTGATTTTGGGACGTTAAACCCCACATATTGATTGATTGATTTGTGGGGTTTAACGTCCCAAAACCACCATATGATTATGAGAGACGCCGTAGTGGAGGGCTCCGGAAATTTCGACCACCTGGGGTTCTTTAACGTGCACCCAAATCTGAGCACACGGGCCTACAACATTTCCGCCTCCATCGGAAATGCAGCCGCCGCAGCCGGGATTTGAACCCGCGCCCTGCCGGGTCAGCAACCGAATACCTTAGCCACTAGACCACGGCGGCGGGGCGGGATATATGCTCCACTGTGTTTGATTACATCAACGCATCTAAAAGGTTACCGTGCTAGTGAACCCAAACGTTTTCAGATCTTTAGTTTATAATTCGTAGCTATTTCTATCAAAAACAAAAGATGGTTTGACCGCTTGCTCAGCAAACATTTTTGTTTTTTGGTAGTATTATTTTAAACTACTTTTTCAGATTGGCTTCATTGTCATTTTAATTTCATTTAAGCAGCCTGCAGGCCGCCTGGTTCTTGTCCCATCCCCCTCTGTGGGTGAGCGCCATCCATCAGAGGTCATCAGCATCAGCATCAGCTAAATCAGACATAGGCTATATTAACATGCAGGGTGGCAGTAATAGGTTGAAGTGGGAAGAGATAGATCAGTTAAAGCAGGAGGAGCCTATGGTATATGGCGTTGTGGAGACACACCTCCGGGACATGGAGCAACCACCTTGTAATCCGGACTACGTATAGGAATATTGCAATAAAACAGAAGGCAGCAAAAAGGGGGGTGGAATTGGGCATTTATACATTAAAGTATATGTGTTGGCAAAGAGTCAAGCATGGAGTCACGGAACGTTATTTATGTGTAAAGGGGAAAGTAGCTGGGCAGATGACACTCCTTGGTTTGGTGTACTTGTGGACAGGAGCAAAGGCCAGAGAGGAAAACCAGGCAATGGTAGAGTGTATATCAAAGGACATTCAGGAGTTAGGAGGAGAGTGCGAGATAATTATACTAGGATATATGAATGCGCACATAGAAGATATAGATGAGTATACTGACTCAACAGGCAAAATGATCATGGATATGTGTGAAAGGCATGATTTGATCATTTGCAACAGTACCGAAAAGTGTGAAGCACAAATAACATGGGAGGTAGGAAGGCTGCAGTCAACGATAGATTACGCACTGATGTCACATAGGATCTATGATAAGCTCAGGGGAATGCACATAGATGAAGGTGGCTCCAGAAGTCTGGGTAGTGATCACAAACGTATCAAGCTAAGTTTTGGAAGAGCATCGAAAGTGGGAAGGAGACAAGATGAGCAACTACAGGAAAATTTCTATTCAGAAAGGCAAATAGAAATTGCTACTAAACAATTTGAGAAAGTAATCACTGAGGATAATAAAACTGTGTGGACATACACAAATCTAATTAGACTGTTTGGGCTAGAGCTTGCTAAGGCACGTGACAAGTCACCCCGGAAAAGAAGACAAGCCCAAGAGTTGGTGGGATGAGGAAGAGAACCATAACAAAACGTCAGGAAGCCTCTAGGGAATACAGACATGCTTAGCAACGGGGTCATATAACTACCGTCATATAATAGTGACATCAGTGGTCTACAGACTGGCGATGCAGATTATACAAGAAAGACTGCAGGCATGGATAGAGGATGAGGGGGTGCTGAGGGAACTCCAGAATGGGTTGCAAGACAATCTGTTCTCACTGACGCAGTGCATCGAAATAGCAGAAAAGGAACACTGGCTCCTGTGGCTAGCATTTTCGGATATGAAGGGAGCGTACGATAGCGCGGTTCAAGAGTACTTGTGGGGGATACTGGACACACTAGGTGTGGAAGATGAAGTCACTAATCTTTTAAAGGATATCTATAAAAGTAACAAGGTAGTTATAACATGGGAAAAAACAGGTATCCAAGCCCAAAGAGATGAAACTGGGGCTTAGGCAGGGGTGCTCTCTGTCACCCTTGCTATTCATGATGTACCTACAAGGATTAGAGACCAAATTAGAGGGTAGTAGATTTGGCTTCAACCTCTCTTTCATCAAACAAGGAAAACTCATTGAACAGGCACTACCAGCATTGATGCACGCAGATGATATAGTGCTAATGGCCGACAGCAAGGAAGATTTGCAGAAATTGATGGGCATCTGCAATAGTGAGGGAGATAGGTTAGATTTAACATCGAGTAAGAAAAAAACCAGCAGTCATGATTTTTAATGATAATGAAGTATATAGTGAGCTTAGGACACAGGAGGTCACGCTAGAGATAACAGATAAATACAGATATCTGGCTGTGAAAAAGCAATGGGACCGAGTACCTAAGGGAACATGAAATATACATAACGACTAAAGGTAACAAGAATGCAGCGGTGATGAAAAATAGGGCACTGTGAAATTACAATGGGTATGATGCGAGAGGAATATGGAAAGGGGTCCTGGTTCCTGGTCTGACTATCGGCAATTTGGTCTTGTGCATGAGATCAGAGGTTCAAGCAAGGTTAGAAATTAAGCAACGTAGAATAGGTAGGCTTGCTTTAGGAGCTCATGGGAATACACCAAATCAGAGAGTACAAGGTGATATGGATGGACATCACTTGAAGGGAAGGAAGCTAGTGGCAAGATAACATTTGAGAAGCGATTGAGAGAAATGGGGAAGGAGCGTTGGGCTAGGAAGGTGTTCAGCTACTTATACATGAATAATGTCGGTACAGAATGGAGGAAGCGAACCAAAAAATTAACGAGTAAATACTTAGAAAAGAGCAAGGGGCCAAACCAAAAGAAGTATCGGTTAAGAAGAAGGTGAAGGAAACGGAGACTGACATGTGGAGAATTGGCATGATAGAAAAGTTCGCACTAGAGATATATCGGACTTTTAAGCAGGAAATTGCCAAGGAAAGGATCTATGATAATACTCGGGGTAGTTCCCTACTGTTTGAGGCCAGGACAGGAGTATTGTGAACCAAGACTACGAAGGAGTAGACACGGTATGTAGTGCATGTGGAGAAGACGAGGAAACTGCCGAACACCTGATAATGTTCTGTAATGTGCTTCAGAATTTTTCGAAGCACTGGGGTTTAGGGATAGCGAGGCCAAAATAGACTTTAAGCGGGTAGAAATAACTAGAAAGAGGTTACCTGATTGGTGACTAAAATCAAGGCGCGAGTGAAAATGAAATCTTTCAGTGCAAAGTACCACTCCTCAACTTCACTATTTAAAGAAAAAAAAGAGATAAATCTAATTGTTGGTTCACTAAATTTTACGGCTAGGTGGTGTTATCCGCCGCCCGATTCAAAGGGTACAGCCCGTTAAACTGGTAGGTATTCTCTGGTACAGCTATGTACAGCTATACCAGTTCATCTATCCACCCTACGAAATCGATCCGCGCGGTCGTGTCTTTGTCTACATCTTCCGCGCGTACAAGCGTCTCAACAGTTTCATTATCGCGCACTGCTGTGTTACAGTGGCTAGCCGTCTGTTTGCAGGCTTGTGGAAGTAGCGCAGACAGGAAGTGCGACAAAATGCCGCATGCATGTGATGTTGCCGGATGCCCCAATGGTGCACGCCGCCAGTACTGCAACAGGGGAACCTATCTGTCTTTTCACTGGATGCCGCAGAATGAACCCTTACGCTCGGAGTGGCTGAGTGTCACGCCTTTGCGCCAGAGTGCTAAACAGTCAAATGCTGTGCGTGTGTGCTCGCTGCACTTTCGTGCTGAGGATTACGAGACCAACCGAAACTTGGTCGATGCTTTTAATGTGCCCTTGCGAGCCAAGCTTCGCCCCAGTGCCGTGCCCTCGGTATTTCCCAAGTCCGAGAGTCAGCTCGGCACCGTGCCCGAGTTGCCTGTGTCCGACAACTTGAAAGAACTGCGGGACGACGACGCGGTGAGTTCGACATTTGCTCCTCTAGATAAAGGAAGCTGCAAAAGTGCGCATTTATATGACATCCATGTATGAGGGCTGCATGACGAGGAGTTTTGTTATTTTCAGGCTGAATGTACGGAATCCGGAACCACAGATTCTGCTATCGATACCGGCACCAACACTGACGCGAAGGTGCGTAACAAACACGAACAGCTTATGGTGCTCACACTTAACAGTGTTGACAGCCTTCCTACAATTTGGGGCGCACATGACACGAAGCTTCGCAATTTCTTCGTTATTTCTAGGTGGCTGTTCACGCGGAAACTCAGACTAATCGGTCGTTGAGGACCGGCTACTACATTGGCTATGATAAAAGTGTGCAAGTTCGTCTGCGTGGCAAGAGCATCGGTGAGTGCATCTGTTAGCGGGTCTGCGCGTTCCGAACATCGTTGATAGAAGCAGCAATACGCAGTTAATATTTTCGTTAATTTCTCTTTGCTCATACGTAATTTTGAACTTCAATTGTTTTTTTTTACTTGGAGTAAAGGAAAAACGTAGCTGTCACAGGAATTGAAAAACTATTATAATTTTGATTAATCCAGGCAATGACGTGCTGTTTTCTACGTAGATGTCTCGTGCTACTTAACTAGAAGCTAGTTTATTTAAAATCAAGCAAGTGTGTTGACAAAATGTGAGAATGTGTAATGGGAGTATCATAGATCAGTTTCATCCTGTTTGTTACATATATGTCGATATAAAGCAAGTGCAGAAAAAAATAGAGTTTGGTTACAACAACCTCACAGCGTCAATTGCGCCCAAAACTAGACACTTATAGCGCATGTTCACTTTGATCACAGGTAATAAATATTATAAAAATGACCAGTTGATACCAGTGTCTTCCAACATGACTCTAAATGCAGGGGTCCAAGTTAATTTAACTCTGAAGAACACAGAAGAGAGGAGGAGACAGGTGCGCAAGAGGAAAAAGCCCATGATATCAACACGAGCAAGGAGGAGGCGAACACAGATGTGTAGGAAGAAACGGCACGAAAAGGCCTTACAATGATCGAGGAGATCAAAGAGCAAAACGGCAGCGACAGACATCAATAAGTGGGCCCTTGTGCTCAGATTTGGGTGCACGTTAAAAAACCCCAGGCGGTCAAAATTTCTGGAGTCCTCCACTATGGCGTCTCTCATAATCATATGGTAGTTTTGGGACTTTGAACCCCACATATCAATCAAGAATTTAATAAGCCCTCCTTTCTAGTCTCACCAGACGCATCACCAGTGAAATGCAAGCCTGACATGCACGATGTGACATAGGAACCAGAGAACTTGACCTGCATCTCCGATGACACAATTGCTGATGAGTAAGTACATTTCACATTTTAAAACACAGAAACCAGATCCCCAAGATTAGTTGGCTACGATTGTAACAAATAGTGCAACAACCTGTGACACCATTACTTTTGTTTTATTACCATTCCTCTTCGTGAAAAAGAGCTCAAATGCCACATATTTAATTAATTACTTTATTTATTCATTAGTACTGTCAACCCTCGCCTGAGGGTCATAGCTTGATAGTTTGATATCGGGCAGTGATTTTTATGACTTGAACCGATTGAAGTGAGTTTTCAAGGATGCCTGTAGCACTTAAAATAAAGAAAATCTTGGTCAGGATGATAAATTTATACTATACAGGTAGTAAAGAATTAGTAGTGGTATTGTGCGTTATGAGTTGAAGACCAATATTGAAATGCTGGAGTAGTTTACATTTTTAGCTGTGTGTATCAGACCTGGCAGTATTTTTTTCGTTTCCAGAAGTGTAGAAGATCACGCACAAGGCAACCATCAAGAGTACTTCTCGGTGCACCAGTCTTGCCTGGTGACACTTCTCAAATGGTGCCACACATGTGCGTCAGGTTCGGTCACTGTGAGCCTCTTCTGCGTTGGAACTCAGTTAACAGCAAGAGTGCCCTTAAGGACATCTGTGCACGTGGTTCAGCCAGCCACTAGTTGGAGGCAAGCCAAAAGGCAACATCGACCTTGCAACTGGGCTGCTTTATTCTGGCTTAAGTCCGACTAGTGCACTCGGGGTGATGCAACAGATAGGCATGCAAGTCATGAGTGACCAGGCTTTTTTCAATTACCGGAGAGCATACTTTCTCCTTGCCGTCACCACGGTAAATGCACACAGGTTGCTCAGAGTATCCGAACATTAATGAGCTCCTTTTGTGCTAGCCATATCGGAGAGAGTTGAATGGAATGGCACAGTCCATCTCTCCTCCAGTTACTTAAAGACACTAAAGCCAAATAGCAATTTACGTCAGAGTAAAAGCTCAATGTATGACATCTAAAACGACAATATTATCAACAACAGTGACCTACTTACCGAGAAATTGAGGTAAATGCACAAGAACACAAGCGCCGTAGTAGGACATTTTCAAAATGATTCCAATGACATCAGACGAACCGCCTACAATTAATCACTAGTAATCAATCTAACTGCACTAAATAACAACCTTCCGTGCATCAAGAGATGCAATAAAATGCTGCTTGTTCATGTCTGTTTGATTCATGGAAAAACCAATTGCCGGACGTTACTATGAGGAATGGCCTGAGTGGTTCAAAAATTCAATTTTCGCGTGGTTACACAGGACGTGGTGCCATCTGGCAGAGTACAGTTGAAACAAACATGTCCGCAATCTCAAAGCCAATGACGGGAAATTCATCAATGGCCGTTGTTGCTGCTGTGGCTCCCGCTGCTTTCGATCTGCTGCTACCAGCGCAGTAAAGCCGGGCAGCATTGTGCATGGCAACAGTGACGTGAGTCGGTCCGGTTGGTCCCCTTCTTGACGCGGGTAATTTGAAGTGTGCTAACCCGAATGCGGAGCACTAAAACGTGATTTTATTTCAATATAGGCCCTCCTTTGGCACTAAAGTATCACTACGAGGTTTCTGGACCGTCATTTCAACAATCAATTTCAACTGAAAAGTTGACTTTAGTGTCCCTTTAAAAAATGTTAGCTAACGACTCGAAAACGGGGCTACCAGACCACATGCATGAGTGAAATGACTGGCATCTTTGGTGAATGGACCTTTTTGTAACTGGAAGTCGCCTTGACGATAGTTATAGCACGAGAACAGAACGACCACAAAGAGACAAGAAGGACACACCGTTCTGTTCTCGTGCTATAACTATCGTCATGTCATACCAACTAGCCCAAACTGCCATGCTTCGAAGTCACCTTTTTTACATGTTCAAAGTTTCTGCTGTCTCAATTGTAACACTCGGATTACCACTGTGCAATTTTTTTTTTAAGCTGGACATATTTTAGTCATCACAAACTTTTTTTTTTGTAAACCTTAGCCAGGAGCCATAAGAACTGCTGCATCTCAGGGGGTCGGCGGCTTGTTTAGTCCTGCACCGTTTAGTCCTAATTAATAACAGTCCAACACTGTTCCATGTTGAAGTTCTATAAAACTAAAACTCCAATTATAAAAAGTGCCCCAATTGTTCCGACACTCTCCTATATGTTAAATTTACTTATTATCTTGACTTCTGCATTGGGCTTTTGCTCATATACGGTAATGAAGATGCATGCTGTTATATCAATTTCAGGGTTTCAGGGTGCAATGAAAGCTGATCAGTAAGGAAACCACGGAAAATTTTATTGTGTTATTCAGAACCATGAATCAACCAGGTAAAATTATGGATCAATGATCCATGACTAGACAGTCAGGCATTAGCTTTCATTTGGGCACATTTATTGAAAACTAAAGTGTATGTGACATTTTCAATGGAAAATAGAGAAGTGAAGCATAGATGGAATGCCAATGAAAAAGTGGTTTGCCTTCGGCTGAAATCATAAATTGCCAAACTCACTCTTTGGACTCATTTAGACTCGGATCAAGTATTCTGGTGAGAGTCCTAGTGAGTTCAGTTTAGAAAAATTTGAGCGAGTCTCAGTCCGAGTAAGTCTTGTTGAGAAAAATTATGAGTAAGTGTGCTCCACATCTTCAGCCGACCTATGCCTAAAACGCATGCCAGGGTGAATGCCTTCCTGTCTCGAGAACTTTTTAAACCTGACTTAATCATATGCATTGCCATCAGATTCATATGGAGAATAATTAGAAATATATCCTTGTCTGGATTATTATGTTGCAATAGCATTTCACATAACTGTCCTGTTCCGGACCTTGATTTTTCATGGTGCTGTCGGTTTTCTAGTGAACACAGGCAAATTCGAATATATTTGACAGACTTTGTTTTAACTGACCATGCGTGTAGTAAGGTGCTATGACCTTGTTATACTTGCAAGTTTCCTTTCTGCTTGGTTTGTTCTTTTTTTTTATGGTTTTTCTTTCTCTGTATAATGCCAGCTGCACGATCAGCTTATGAAGGTGTCCTATTCACGTTGGAGGCTTTTGCAATGTTGTTCATCTTTAAAAAGATATCACAGGACAAAGCTGACTACCTTTTTTAGATCGGACAACTTTTTTCTTCAATGGTAAATGTACGAGCATGAAGCATGAGATATCCTGCTATATTATACAGCACTTAACTGCATATCATTGAAGAAGCATAGCGAGCATGCTTCCGATTTCAGTAAAAAAATTGTGCACATATGTCCCAACTGGTTTATGTTTCCATGCGTTGTCACACGGAATAATTTTTGACCAAGTTGAGAAGTACACTTATTATCAATGCGAATTTCTTACAGATGTGGGAGGAGCACCGAGAGAAACTTCCCGACACAGGTGCACGATACCAATTTATAGCTTTGTGGTGATGGACGGTGCGATTCCCCTGGTCACAGTGCCAAATACCTGACGTACTCCTTCCTGTGCACTGATTCAAGGAAAATCATCCACACGGAGCAAGTGACAATGAAGGAAGTAAGTAAAGAAAGAAACATTTCAGGGAGATTCACTGCCGCCTAATGATAAAAGCCTAGGCATACTCTACCTCGCACATAAGAAATATGCATGGTGCGCACAGGTACTTGAAATTGTTGGAAACCCTTGAAATTGAAAAATTCATTTTGCAGGCCTTGAAAGTCCTGGATTTTCGTTTGAGTCCTTGAATACCCTTAAATATTGGGGATTTTCACAGGGTCCAATTGTACGACTCACAATTCACAGCAGTTGAGCGTGGTGCCGAGCAAACATCATTGCTTATCGTGTCCCACGACACTGCGATTGCGAAGTCGGACACTTAAACCGCCCATATGAGATGGAAGCATGCGTGCACCTGCAGCGCCATTTTATTTTATTTGACTTGCTTTGGCTTCAGTTGGCGAGAAGCCATAGGGTGATGGCCACAATGAGGTTACAGAATTTTGAGCTCTGGAAAAAAAGTTGCACGAATGCTCTTATTGCTGTAGACTTTACTAGTACTTAAAAGGTTTTATTTTGGCTTCACTTAGTGGTGTCCGTCAGCAACTTAAAAAAAAAAGAAATGTGCAGCACAGACTCAATAGCCTCAGCCACCTCAGTATCATCTGCTGGCCACATTGTGGGCTGTGTAGCTTGTTGTTGTCGGTGCTTGCTCGTGCCTTGGTGGTGTTACAGTGGCTAGAACGTAGTGGTGTTTAGTTTTGCAGATGTTGGTTGCTGTGCACTTTGTGATCGCATGATCGTGCATGCAGGGGGCATAATTTGCAATAATGCCTGGGAAATGCAAGTTCCAGAGCGCCTGGCTCAGCAACGATAATTGTAAGCGTTGGATTGCGTCGGATGTATCGGACCCCCCCGTGCAAAATGCACATTGTGCAAAAAAAAAAAAAAAGAAAAAGCTTCGACCTCGTTTTTATGAGTGAATCTGCTCTCAAAATTCACGCAAAAAGCACCAAGCGCAGTGGAATTGTGAAAATGGCAGCTGGAAACTCTATGCAGACCTACCTGATGGCAACCTCAAGTGAGTGGTCTACTAGCTCGGCTCCATCCCAAGTGACCGATCTTAGCAGCACCTGCAAGTCGCACAAGGTCGTCACCGATGCCGAAATTCTGTGGACATTAAAAGTAATTACATCCCACTACTCGTACAGATCGTTGGCACAAACTGGCGACTTGTTCAGGCGGATGTTTCCTGACAGCAAGGTGGCTAAATTATTTTCTTGCGGCGAGAAGG